CTGGAAATAAATAATTCTGTAATAATTGCTGAAATGTAAGCACCACACTATTGATTTAGAAAAACATGTATTACCCTTAGATGCTAATGTAAAGACATCAACTCAATATTATCTTTATGAAGACTCACCATTTCAGGTTACAGAGGAGGTTCTCATTCATTTTCAAGATATCTTCTCAATTGTTTATTTTACACGTGCACACTAAATTTAGATGCACAAGTAGCCAATCCATTGTATTATCAGGTCATAGAATTCTCCAGCTCAGGATTGGGAAAGACCTTGGCTACCATGTAGTTCAACAACTCATCACATTATATTATCCTCTGTATTCCATTAATTCCAGGGCCATCAACTTACTTTCAAAGAGTGCCAATAATAGAATCTCCTACCTCCTTAGGAATCCATTTTCTGTTGGAACAACTTTGACAACTCAAAACTTTGCTTTTTTCTACTCACCAAGCCATAGTTTCATTCACACTTTTGGGCCAGGATGAATTTGGCTAATCATTCTTCTAAATGACAAACCTCTTTTCATAAATATTGGAATAGAGTTCCTACATGACAGAAACCTTATTTCATCTGGGTTAAATATGCTTACATTTATTTGTTAACAATCCAATAATTATAACATAATTAATGGTTATGTCAACAAATACTTGTTCACTATACTGCTTTATAGTTTGAAAAAATTTTTATAAAATTATTTTATTTTATTTTCCCAGAATTAGTGCGAGGTAGATAATTCTTTTTTTTCCTTCTTTTGTTTGAAGAAGATTCACCCTGAGCTAACATCCACTGCCAATCTTCCTCTATTATGTACGTGAGCCATCACCATAGCATGGCCACTGACAGACGAGTGGTGAAGGTCTGCACCTGGGAACTGAACCCAGGCCATCGAAGCAGAGTGTGCTGAACTTAACCACTAGGCCACGGGGGCTGGCCCAAGACAAGTCTTTTTAATTTAAATTTAAATTTGAAGACTATAGATATTGTGACTGGCTCGACATGAATACCAGATAATTCCAGGAATATTATTCAGGTCTTCTAACACCAAATATCCTGTCTTCCCTGGTACAAACATCAATTACTCTTATCTTTCATAAAAGTAATTTATGATTCCTAAGTAAGAATGGGGGAAATCTCTCTCAAAGATCTCCACCATTTTAGAAAACACTTGCTAGTAATTAACATTGGGGAAAATAATAAGATCTTGATCTTTTTTAACAGAGGCTGCAATTCAGGTTTTTTTTTCCACATTAGAAAAAGAAAGAATTTCAGAAATGTCACATAATAGAAAAAACAAAAAACCTAAGAAATGAGATGTATGTCACCCAAGGCACAAAGAGCTTGTCAAGAGGAGAAAAGTAAAGAAAATCTAGGGCATACATTATCAACATTTTTTTTCATGAAATTTGAGAAAACTAAGCTTTAATAAAGTTCTATTGATATAAAAGAAAAACCTTCTCAAAATTATATGATTCACTGAAAAAGACTGAGAAAGCATTGATCAAAGAGAACTTTAAATTTTCCTGTCCGAATAAAACCAATAAAAGCATGAAACCTCACCTGAACAAGGGAGTTTTCCTCTTTACAAAAACCTGAATCTTGCTGAATCAAAAGAGGCTCGCTTTTGTCACAGCTCTCGTGGCTGATGAGCGTGTCTGCGTAGTTGGGCTGGGGGAAGATCAGGTGGCTCTTCCGAGAGTCCGTGGTGAGGGAGACCTCGTGGGAATAGGTCTGCAGGAAAGCCTGCACCCCGTCCACACCCACAAAGTGAGAGGTGGGCAGGCCTGCCAACCCACCTCCTGAAGCCTGGAGCAGGCGCGACATGTGCCAGTGCCGCAGTCTGAGTGCCAGCAGCACGATGACAAAGGCGAGGAAGACACAGGAGACCACAGCCACCGCCACCACCAAGTACAGCGTGAAGTCTGAGGCGTCAGAGTTGGGCTGGACCTCCAGGCTGCCCAGGTCAGCCAAGATGTCTGGGATGCTGTCAGCCACGGCCACCGTGAGTGTGACGGTGGCCGAGAGAGGGGGCTGGCCATGGTCCTGAACCACCACCACCAGGCTCTGCTTGAGTGTGTCTCTGTCCAGCAGAGCCCGCGCAGTGCGCACCTCGCCCGTGTGCAGCCCCACCTTGAAAAGCCCTGGCTCGCTGGCCTTGAGCAGGCGGTAGGACAGCCAGGCATTCTGGCCTGAGTCTCTGTCCACTGCCACCACTTTGGTCACCAGGTAGCCAGGCTCTGCAGAACGGGGGGCCAGCTCAACGCCAGTGGAACCGTCAGTGGGGAGTGAGGGATACAGGATCTCTGGTGGGTTGTCATTCTGGTCCAGCACGAATATGCTCAGTGACACGTTGCTGCAGACGGGTGGGTCCCCGCTGTCACACGCGGTCACCCTCAATTGCAAATCACGCAACTGTTCATAGTCGAAGGAGTGCAATGCATACAGCACGCCAGTGTCAGAGTTGATGGAAACATAGGAGGATAGAGGCGCCCCCTGGATGGTGTCTTCAGGCAGGGAGTAGGTGACCCGTGCATTCTCGTGGCTGTCGGGGTCGTGTGCAGTCACGGAGAAGATGGAGGCGCCTCTAGGGTTGTTCTCAGGGACGTAGACAGAGTAGGAGGAGTGGGGAAAGGCAGGCGGGTTGTCGTTGGTGTCTGCCACATTTAGGGAGATGAGTGTTTCTGTAGACAGAGGCGGCATTCCTTTGTCTGTGGCTGTCACAGTGATGTTGTACAAAGATACTTGTTCTCGATCTAGAATTCTATTGGTCACTAATCGATAATAATTGTCTACTGATTTTTCCAGTTCAAATGGCAGATTTCTCGAGATGGAACACGTTACCAGGCCATTCAGTCCGGAATCTCTATCATATACTTGAAAAAGAGCAACTACTGTTCCTGGAGGCATACTTTCAGCAATTGATCTGCTTCCAGACGTTACTACCACTTCTGGTACATTATCATTCACATCCAAGATAGTTATTAAGACTTTCGCTCTGTCTTGTAGACCTGGCCGATCCCGGGCTTCAATATCCAGCTCATAAAAGCTCGAGTCCTCATAGTCTAGATTTGCAGAAGTTGATATTTCTCCAGTCAAAACATTCAAGCAGAAAATCTTGGCGATCTTTGCTGTTATCCTCACGAAGGAATATGTTACTTCCGCGTGGACTCCTTCATCCTGGTCGGTGGCATTTACCGACAACACTGGCGAACCTACAGGCAGATTTTCAGGAACACTCACACGGTAGATAGGCTGCGTAAACACCGGAGCATTGTCATTCGCATCTAGGACAGTTACCAGAATTCGCGCCACGCCTGAGCGGACAGGGTCACCGCCATCCATGGCAGTAAGGACCAGGCGGTGAATGGCCTCTTCTTCCCGATCCAGGACGCGCTCCAGCACCAGCTCCGGGTATCTGGGCCCAATGGCTTCGCTCAGCACGTTCACTGAGAAGTGACTATTCTCGCTGAGCTTGAAGCCCTGAAGAGAGTTCATTCCCACATCCGGGTCATAGACCTCCATTAGTGGAAAACGAGAGGATGGGGGTGCGTTTTCGGAAATTTTCACTTCCAATTCTTCCCTTAAGAATCGGGGTGTATTGTCATTAATGTCCATTATTTCCACTTCTATGGGATAAAGATTCAGTTTATCCTCAACGAGGATGTTAAAACTCACCAGACACCGCGCGCTCTGAGCGCAGAGCTCCTCCCGGTCTATCCTGCCCACAGTGACCAAGCTGCCGCTTCGCGGGTTCAGAGCGAAAAGCTGCGTCCTACCTCTGGAGACGATGCGGACTCCGCGCTCCGCCAGCTCCTGGGGCCTCAGCCCGAGATCCTTGGCAATGTTGCCCACGAAGGAGCCTTTGTCCAGCTCCTCAGGAATAGAGTAACGGATCGGTCCGGCCCGGGCCCCCCACAGCGTCCCCAGGAGCAGGAAAAGCACGACTAACCCGCGGCGGTGCTGGCGCCAGTGCAGAGCCGCCATTACTGGCTCGTTACTGACTTACCTGGATTCTCAGTAGGGGGAACAAGTTCGCATTACTTTTGGGCTTCTCAGAATTAGAAGTCAAGGTCCATAAACAAGCAGAGATCAGATGCGAAGCATTTTAGGTCAGAATATCTGCGCAGCTGGAGAGCTTTCCTGTCTGGTCTGCTTTGTGCTTGGAGGATATAACTCGAGTTCTCACTGCTTTCCTTACCCGGGTTAGTGAACAGCGACGCTTAGAGTCCTAACTTAATATTGCACCGTTTTGTGAAACCATCATACATAGGATCTTATTTCTGCTAAATCTGTATAGATAACACTCATAATATGTCTCTCTCCAAGAATGAGAAGCATTTGGAAGAATAAAAGAGCCTGTTTTGAATAATTTTATATGTTCCCTGAAATTTACCACTCATTTCTGTGACAATATCTCTTAGGGCCATGGATAACAGAAATAATATTACACTTTTCTCTAAATCTTGAATTATCACACTTCACCATCATTTATATTTGTCCTGTTTTCAATAAGGGCACCAACAACCACACACATATTTGAACCAGTCCACCTAGTGCCAGTTACAAATGTTGCCATTTTTAGATGATATTTTTATTAACAAATAGATTAAACACTGCCATAATTTAGCCAGTATTTGTGTATACTTTGAAAAACATGCAAAGGAATTGAAAATATATAGGCTACAATGAAAAAATATTTTTATATTTATATTATATATAATACTTTAGGATTGACTGCATGGAAATTAAGTAAACCACTTAATTGTCTAGATTTGTGTTTAACTATACATAGATAATATGCCTCACAATGAGAGTGTGAGATCTAATGTATTAAAAATGTTTCAGGATATATTGTTTTTAGGATTAACAAAAATTTCAAGAGTATCACAAGGCAACTTGCTATGAAAGAACAATTGCAACACAGGTAAGCGAACAAAGAATTTCTAACACCCCTCCACTCTACACCTAGAAAAATCAATAAAAAACAATAAAATCAGGGCATATTTAGCCTGTATCCTTTTTACCTCTAAAATAATGAATTGAAACCTACTTATACTTATGGGAGGAAAGGGTTTTGAAGTAACTCACCTGTTGCAAATTAACTGAATTAGAAGTCATTTGGGGATTGTCGTTAATGGTACTTTCAAACCAGGAGGTTTCATTACATAGAAGATCTTGTGTTGGAGCATTTTCAGGCTTTATATTGAGAAATTTAATCTCAGTCTTAGAGGAGTGTGAGGCAGCACATAGATTGTAGCAATAGGGCAAAGTCCCTTGGCTAAAGTTGGGGAGAATCCCGGGTTTAGTCTTGGAGCAGACAACAGTCTGAAAGCAACTCCAGGAGTTGGGGCTAAAGGAGCGTCGCAGGCTCAGGGCGACTGCCAGAACCACTGCCAGGAGGAAGAGCATGGAGATCAAGGCCAAGGCCACCACCAGATAAAACTGCAGCTCAGCCTGGGGGTCAGAGGGCACGGGTTGGTCGCTGAGATCTGGCAGGACCTCTTGTAGACTATCAGCGAAAACCAGGTGCAGCGTGGCGGTGGCGGAAAGAGGCGGCTGTCCCCCGTCACGCACAGCGACCAGCAGGCGCTGTCTCGCCGAGTCCCGGTCGCCCAATGCACGCGCCGTGCGCACCTCGCCCGTGCGCAGCCCCAGGCTGAAGAGCCCGGCTCGCTGGCCTGCAGCACGTGATACGACAGCCAGGCGTTGTGTCCCGAGTCGGCGTCCACCGCCACCACCTTGGTGACCAGGTAGCCAGGCTGCGCGGCGCGCGGCACCGTGTCGAAGAGCGCCGAGCCGTCGGGCCCCAGCGCCGGGTACAGCACCCTGGGCGCGTTGTCGTTGCGGTCGCCCACCAACACGCGCAGGCTCACGTTGGCGCTGAGCGCAGGCGAGCCCTGGTCGCGGGCCTGCAGAGTCAGCTCGAAGGCGGGCAGCTGCTCGTGGTCGAAGGCGCGCTGCGCGAACACCACTCCGCTCTGCGCGGTCGCCGACACGTAGGACGACAGCGCCCTCGGCTCCAGGTCGCTGGCCACGATGGAGTAGGAGACGCGGCCGTTGGGTCCCAAGTCAGGATCTGAGGCGCTGACTTGGACGATAGAAGCTCCGGCCGGGTTATTTTCTGCCACGTGGACCACATAAGGGGCCTGGTGGAAAACTGGCACGTTGTCGTTGACATCAGCGATGTTCAAGGTGACACTTCTGTTGGAGGAGAGGGGAGGCTTGCCCCAGTCCGTGGCTGTGATGGTGACATTATACTCTGGAATCTTCTCTCGATCTAGGCCTCCATCTGTCACCAACTTGTATGTATTTTTTTTGTCTTGAACTATTTTAAATGGGAACTTTCCGTTTAGTTGGCATAGGATTTCCCCATTAAATCCAGAATCTAAATCATGTGTTTTGATCAGGGCAACAACAGTCCCCGGCTCAGCATCTTCTTGTATATGTTTAGATTCAGAATCCAGGGTTATCTCAGGAGCATTGTCGTTTTCATCCAAAATATATATTTGTATTTTACAATGTGCAGTGTGACGGCCACCATCCTTTGCCTCCACGCCAATTGTGTAGCTCTCTCTCTCTTCAAAGTCCAGTTCTCTGTTAGTGGTGAGTTCCCCTGTTTTATTGCCCAGCTTGAACAGTTGTCTCACTGTCTTACCAATGTTGATGAAAGTGTAAGTGATCTCTGCATTGACGCCCTCATCAGAGTCAGTGGCCATCACTCTTAGCACAGAGGAGCCCACTGGCAAGTTCTCTGGAACACTGACCCTGTACATGTCCTGGGTGAACACGGGGGGGTTATCATTTGCATCTGCCACAATTACCCTGATCTGGGTAGTACAGCTTCTGGCTGGCTTGCCCCCATCCACAGCCGTGAGGACCAGGTGGTGGCAGGACTGCTCTTCCCTGTCCAGGGGAGCCTTCACTACCAGTTCTGGGTACCTACTGCCGTCTGGGTTCTCCTTCTGGATCAAAGAGAAGTGCGGGTCGGGGCTGAGGTAGTACTGCTGCAGGGAATTGACACCTACATCTGAATCTTGTGCGGATTCCAGGGCAAACGTGGCTCCAGTTATGGCTAGTTCACTGATTTCCAGCTCAGTCATATTTCTGCTAAAGGTCGGTGGGTTGTCGTTTACATCCTGAATCTCCACAGTTATATGAAAAAAGTTCAAAGGCTTTTCAGAGACCATTTCGAATTCCAGAACACATGTCGACTTCTTGCCACAAATCTGCTCTCGGTCTATACGATCGCTCACAAGTCAGTCCCCATTCTCGGTGCTCACTGTAAAGAATTTCTTCTCTGCACTAACCCGCAGGTTCCCAGTAGGCAAATCTCGTACGCCAAGCCCCAGATCATTGGCGAGGTTCCCCACCACCGAGCCCCTGGCCAGCTCCTCCGGAATAGTGTAGCGGATTTGCTCCGAGAGCGCCCGGCAGAACAAAGACAGCAGGAAGAGAAATGACATTCGCTTCCGCCTAGCTGGGCCCCTCACTCCCAAGCGGTTTCCCATCCCGCTCTCTGCGCCTTTGCCTTTCTGATTCCAAAGAGCTACGATCGCTAAATGATCCCAAGAATTCTCTGAGCAGGAGCGACTCCTTGATTTGTCTTGCAGGGCAGATTCTCTGACAGATTTCTCCGCAGCAGAAAGCCGGAGAGAGAGTGCACAGTTCTCCGAATTCCGCGGTCTGCTGGGGAGTCCTTTGCGTCGGGAGGAGCTGATGCTTGGCTAGCACTAGCCAACAGCGGCACCCCGCGCCTCGGCTGCAGAACTGCAGTAGTGGGCACTAAATAGCTCCAAATACGGAGCTGGCTAGAACACAATTCTACTGTGTCCTGATATAAATACTCATTCTTCCAATTTTACAAGTATTTTAACATTTTAAATACTTACTATATCTTCTTTCTGGCTGTCATTTCTTTGAACTTGAACTTTATCCATCCAAATCAAGTCATTTTTACTCGTCAAAGTGCAGAAGTACCTTGCTGAAGATGTTTCTTGACATGGTAGGCCTTGTAGTTTCCATTTTCATAAAATGGTCATAATGACATCTTTCCTGCATACCTTAGTAGAATTGAGGACTAAATAAAATATATATAGAAAATGATACAAATGAAAGATAGTGTTTGTGGTGGCAGAAAGTGATAAGAAAATTCTTCAAATATCACCTTGATATGCATTGTTATTCCACTCTATTTCCTTTTCTTCAAACTTATAAATCTCATAGCTTTTAGTTTTATTGTATGTTTAACTTTCTTCTCTTATCTTTATCATCTTCTCCCAAAAATAATTGATAGGTAGCAAGGAGACTGGTTGTCCTTATAAAATAGAAGTATGGTAAGAAGCAAGACTCTCTTCTCCTTAGTTTCCAAGTGTCTACTTTTAATTGAGTGACTATGACTAAAAAATTATTCCACTAATTTTATTTTCCACACTACATTACCATCGTCTTTAATTGTACTATTTCTTCTCAAGTAGCTTAACAGTGGTGAGTTATTTTGATTTGGGGGGTGAAGTATGAGTCCTTATAACTATATATTGCAAAGAAAGCAATCTCTGTGTCCACTTTTCCTTGGTCTCCAGGTTACTACCTTATCATCCCAACTCTTTGTTACTGACACTCTTCCCTTGTCAATAAGCATGCCAATTTCCATGTTTCTGATAGGTGTCTTAGAGCTTTAATTCCATTTCCAAACTAGAACTCTTCATAAACAAATTTTTTTAAAAAATATTTATTTATTTTCCCCAAAGCCCCAGTAGATAGCTGTATGTCATAGCTGCACATCCTTCCAGTTGCTGCATGTGGGACGCGGCCCCAGCATGGTCGGAGAAGCGGTGCGTCGGTGTGCGCCCGGGATCTGAACCCGGGCTGCCAGCAGCGGAGCGTGCGAACCTAACCGCTAAGCCATGGGGCTGGCCCTCCCCCATTTATTCATACTTTGCAGCTGATGTGCAAGTTGTTGAAGGTACAAAATTGAAAAAATCTTTTTAAAAGAAGCATCTGAAAATCATCTTCATCAAATTAGATGCCAAAAATGAATAGAGTAGTTCTTCCATTACACAACACATACTCATGAAATTTGAGACCCATAGACCAGCATTTCATTAAGAAAAATCTATTAATTTAAGATAAGCACGTCCCTGAGAAATGAATTTTAAAATTTCAAACCGCTTTTAAGTTGAGTTGATTTTCCAATTGCAAATCTTAGACTCTTGTAATAAAGCATAATTGTGCCTACACTTGCAAAAATGCAAGCATTTAGGGAAATATTGATTCTGAAAAGTGAAGGGGCTACCTGTAAACAGAAGATGCCAGGTGTATGGCATATTTGTATTTAATGAATGTAGCAGTATTTAATTCTTTGGAGATTTTTAATTGCATCACAGAATAAACCACAATTCCAAGGCTCCTTCTCACTGATTTCTTCTCTCAACAAATACTCATGTCCAATAATTACATGGTTCAACCCAAACTTTCCAGATTTCAGAATGTCACAGACATTATCATCACTATAAGCTTAATGTGTTTTTCTGACATTTATCATGTAGAAGTTTTCTGTATTATTCCACTGATTTATGCAAATACTGTAAATTATTTCCTAGTGCAAATAGCAGGTATACTAAAATATCAATGCTGCACAACATTCTTTCCAAAACATATTTGCCATTGGCGTTTAGGCAAATATTCAAAAGAGAACATCACATCTAATGATTTGGACTAATCAAACAACTCTTCTATTAACATAGTAACTTTTCTAGTATAAGAAAGTCTTTGAGTAAAGTGATTATGTTTAACCACTTTCTTTTAAAGTACTTGTTTCACTTAAGTCTATGGATAACAGCTAGATTTTCTAAAATATCCACGTATTGAAAATAGAAGACATTAAACCCAAAACATAATTTGAAAACAGAGAAAGCATCGATTATCATATTAAATCAAGTTAATCTCTAAATGAAGCAAATAATGATTCACTATTTACATAATTAATTGATTTTGAATGTGGCAGAAAAATGATTGAGGAAACAAATGAAGAAAAAGCTCCAAGTATCCCTACTGAAAAAAAAAAACCCACCTGAACAACTCCTAGTTCTTCTTCGTTTACATTTATCTTCTCAGATATCAGAAGAGGCTCACTTTTCTCACAGCTCTCTTGGCTGACAAGCATGTCTGCATAGTTGGGCTGGGGGAAGATCAGGTGGCTCTTCCGTGAGTCTGAGTCCACGGTGAGGGAGACCTCGTGGGAATAGGTCTGCAGGAAAGCCTGCACCCCGTCCACACCCACAAAGTGAGAGGCCGGCGCTCCCATCAATCCTCCTCTTGAAGCCTGGAGCAGTCGCGACCTGTGCCAGCGCCCCAGTCTGAGTGCCAGCAGCACGATGACAAAGGCAAGGAAGACACAGGAGACTGCAGCCACCGCCACCACCAGGTACAGGGTGAGGCTGGAGTCATCAGGGTCAGCTGAGGGCTCCAGGCTACCCAGGTCAGCCAGGATATCTGGGATGCTGTGAGCCACAGCCACAGTAAGTGTGACGGTGGCCGAGAGAGGGGGCTGGCCATGGTCCTGGACAGCCACCACCAGGTTCTGTTTGAGCGCGTCTCTGTCCAGCAGGGCCCGCGCAGTGCGCACCTCACCGGTGTGCAGCCCCACTGTGAAGAGCCCTGTCTCACTGGCCTTGAGCAGGCGGTAGGACAACCAGGCATTCTGGCCTGAGTCTCTGTCCACTGCCACCACCTTGGTCACCAGGTAGCCAGGCTCTGCAGAGCGGGGTGCCAGCTCGACACCTGTGGAACCATCGGTGGGGAGGGTGGGGTACAGGATCTCGGGTGCATTGTCATTCTGGTCTAGCACAAATATGCTCAGCGACACGTTGCTGCTGAGTGGAGGGTCTCCACTGTCACTGGCTATCACCCATAGCTGCAGGTCCCTAACCTGTTCATAGTCGAAAGAGCCCAGTGCATACAGGACACCAGTGTCAGAGTTGATGGAGACATAAGAGGATAGAGGCATTTCTTGAAACGTGTCCTTGGCCAGAGAGTAAGTGATCTGGGCATTGTTGCCACTGTCGGGGTCATGGGCGGTTACAGAGAAGATAGAGACACCTCTGGGGTTGTTTTCTGGGATGTAGGTGGAGTATGAGGTGTGAGGGAAGATGGGAGGGTTGTCATTGATGTCTGCCACTTTGAGGGAGATGTGGTTTTCTGTAGACAGTGGTGGGTTTCCATGGTCAATGACAGTTACTGTGATGTTATAATCTGAGATCTCTTCTCTGTCCAGGGATCTCGTTGTCAATAAGTGATAGTAATTACCAACCGACTTTTTCAATTTAAAGGGCAAGTTCCTGGGAATAGAACATGCAATCTCGCCATTCTCTCCAGAATCGCCATCGTGTAGGCTAAACAGCGCAATTACGGTTCCAGGAAGACAGTCTTCAGAGACGGAACTGGTGAGAGAGGTGAGGATCACTTCAGGGACATTGTCATTCACGTCCTGTACTGTGACCAGCACCTTAGCGCTGGCAAGAAGAGCACCTCCATCCTGAGCTACCACCTCCATGACATAGAATCTGAATTCTTCATAATCCAGGGATTGCACAGTTGAGATTTCACCCAGGTTGGAATTAAGTTGGAAAGTCTCTGAAATTTTGTCGTCTTCATTGCGAAAAGAGTACGTCAATTTCCCGTTTATTCCCTCATCTGGATCCGTGGCGGTTAGTGTGAGCAGCCGAGTGCCCACAGGTATGTTCTCTGGAACACTCACTCTGTACTCGGATTGAGTGAACAGGGGAGCGTTATCGTTTGCGTCGAGGACCATCACGCGGATGTGCGTAGTTGCAGAGAGCACCGGGTCTCCGCCGTCTAAAGCTGTGAGGAGGAGGTCGTGAACAGCCACTTTCTCGCGGTCCAAAGGCCGTTCCAGTACCAGCTCCGGGTATTTTTGTCCATCAGTTCCGCTTTTCTCCTCCAGAGAGAAGTGCATATTGGAGCTGAGCTGATAACTCTGCAGGGAGTTCACACCCACATCCGCATCTCGAGCGAAGGGAAGCCCTAACCGCGTTCCCGCAGCCGCATTTTCATTAACTTTTACTTTTACTTCCTCATCCCGGAAACGCGGGAAGTTATCATTAATATCGATTATTTCTACTTCTACTTCATAAATTTTCATTTTATTCTCAACCAAGATGTTAAAACTCACCAGACACCGCGCGCTCTGACCGCAGAGCTCCTCCCGGTCTATCCTGTCCGCGGTGACCAAGCTGCCGCTTCCAGGGTTCAGAGCGAAAAGCTTCGTCTTTCCTCTGGAGACGATGCGGACTCCGCGCTCCGCCAACTCGCGGGGCTCCAGCCCGAGATCCTTGGCGATGTTGCCCACGAAAGAGCCTTTGTCCAGCTCCTCTGGCACTGGGTAACGGATCTGCCCGGCCCCGGCTCCCAACAGAGTCCCCAGGAGCATGAAGAGCAGGAGCAGCTCTCTGCAGCCCCAACCCCTCAGTGGATCCGCCATTGCCTTCTCTCTGACCAGTTTTCTCTTAGTCCTGGTTCCAGCCTGCTGTTTGCTTATTTCTTTAAAGCCAAGGGGAACACATTCCCTGGTTGAAATGGGAGAGGGGCCCCGCGGATGGGTGGATTTTCCCAGAAGCTTGTCTGGTCTGTGTGTTTAGCGCGGAAGGAGTAGAGAGTCCCGTGCATCAGCAGTAGCTTCTTTTCCACTTTGGTGAACAGCGACGCTCAGAGTCCTAACCAGTTGCTACACCCTTTTTTATGTTTATTCATAAATGTTTAATTATATTTTATTTCTAACAATTTTGCTGTATCTTTAATCTATTACTGGAGACATTGTTTATATTTAATATTTAATTGTGAAATAGCAGAAGACTTCCACAAACTCCTGAGATCAATATATTAGATTCTTTTTTACTTCTTCAGAAAAGTTTTATTTAAGGTGCTGTTGAGTCTATGTCCTTTATTTGCCTCTTACCTATATTGAGTCCATTAATTTAGGACATTGGAATTCTTACTTTTGTAGGTTTTAAGATTTCATCTTTTTAATAGGATATATTTATGAAAACATGCTTATGTGTACATAAGAATACCAAGGAAACAAACCTAGCTCTTAGTACACCTTTGCAATAAGGCCTACTGATTCATGCAAATTGTATTAGCTGTCATATGCAGAAAAAATAAGGGGGCCATTTTGTTACTTGTGAGGTCTTTGAGAAAGTTTCAAGATTTTCACACTAAGAATATGGCAGCTAAATTATATCAGACTGAGAGTCTGAATTGGGTTAATTATGCATTATTTATATTTTCCTATTACCATGTCTAAGTTGGAGTTAAACGCTTTACAGTGACAGACTTTTGGGGAAAATCAGTACAGTGACTGTGCAGGAAAGGGCTTTAGTTCATCACCCATGCAGAAAAACATGTCCAGATACTTGCCAGCTAGAAGGCAGAGAGTGGCCTTTCCATGGTGAGACAGATATTTAATGTTGTCACTTTTATATGGTAGCAGAAAAAGAAAAACCTCATGACTGAAAAAAATGGACACTTCAGAGAGTCCATTAAATGAGAGAAACAATTTTTACTCAACGACACCTTCATAGAAAAATGAAGAAAATGAAGATATTCTAGATCTATAATTAAAAAATTCAAAAGATAATATTTTAAGTAAATAACGTGAATGTAGGTTCCAAAATTTTTCTCAATGTACAATTTTCACAAGAGCAATTTGTTACTATGCATGAAAGACAGATTTAACCCATTTATTAAATGCACTCGTTTTTTTTGTGTGTGAGGAAGATTAGCCCTGAGCTAACGTCTGTCACCAACCCTTCTCTTTTTGCTGAGGAAGATTGGCCCTGGGCTAACATCGGTGCCCATCTTCCTCCACTTTATATGGCACAGCATTGCTTGACAAGCAGTGCATCAGTGCGCGACCAGGATCCCAGCCCCAGGCCACCGCAGCAGAGCACTCGCCCTTAACCGCTACGCCACCGGGCCAGCCCCTAGTAAATGCACTCTTAATAGCAGACACACAATAAGGATCTCAAACTTTGACCATCTTTTAAAAGTAGATCTGGGATCCCAAGATACTTAGCTTGTAAAGACATCTAGAGTGCTGGTGTTCAAGTCAGTCCTACCCATGCTCTGCTGTTGACAAGCCATGACATTAGGTAAGTTTTCCTTTCTTTGGTTTCCAGTTTCCCCAAACTAGTAAGATGAGGAGCTCTCTTTACTCTGAAGTACCATAATTATAAGAGAAAGTAAAACTAAAATTTGAGTAATAAAGACCTTGAAGGTAAAAGGAACAGCTTAAGGTCCCAATAGTAATAAAACCTTCATAGGGAAGGAAGATAAAGATGAGGAAGAAAAAGAAGCATCTCATGTAGGAAAGCCTTGTAATTATGAACAAGTAAATCTCACACATCAGATAGAAAACCTATGTCAACAATTTAGTTATATAAGATTAAGATGATCATGGCAGAAAACTGCCTAATTGGACCCACAAGGCAACAAAATATGAAATGGAGACTCCTACCTCAGTTAAGTGAACTGTAAAGAAACATTAAAACCCAAAGTGAAAATAATTAAATTAAACTCACCTTTAAAATAGTATCTGAGGCAAATGGGACACCAGCATCTCCATGATTTGTACTCGGTACCCAAAGGGCATCTTCGCAGAGGAGATCCCGAGGGGGAGCCACTTCTGGGGTCACACTGAGAAAATTAAACTCTGTCTTAGCTGACTGTGAGGCAAGACATAGATTGTAGGAATAGGGCAATGTTCCCTCACTGTGATTGGGGGGAACCCCTGGTCCAGACTTGGAACTCAGACCAGGCTGAAAGCAGCCCCAGGCAGCGGGGCTAGATGAGCGTCGCAGGCGCAGGGCGATGGCCAGCATCACCGCCAGGAAGAAGAGCACAGAGATCAAGGCCAAGGCCACCACCAGGTAAAACTGCAGCTCAGCCTGAGGGTCAGAGGGCGCGGGGCGGTCACTGAGGTCAGGCAGGACCTCTTGTAGACTATCAGCGAAAACCAGGTGCAGCGTGGCGGTGGCCGAAAGAGGCGGCTGTCCCCCGTCACGCACAGCGACCAGCAGGCGCTGTCTCGCCGAGTCCCTGTCGCCCAAAGCACGCGCCGTGCGCACCTCGCCCGTGCGCAGCCCCAGGCTGAAGAGCCCGGCCTCGCTGGCCTGCAGCACGTGGTAGGACAGCCAGGCGTTGTGTCCCGAGTCGGCGTCCACCGCCACCACCTTGGTGACCAGGTAGCCAGGCTGC